GTTAAAAAAAATGTTGATTTTATTCTTTATTATTTCTTCATTTATCGAATTTAAACGGTAAATTTTTCAAAGTTTTCCTTTGATATACTTTTGTGTTCACTGTACAGTTTTTCAATGAATATGTAGAACGATCATTGATTTCATGATTAAAAGAAGAGTATCATATTTCTTCCTTTTCACAAGAATTTGTCTATGCTTTAATGTTTGGATTTGAAAGAAGAAAAACTGCTCGTTAAACAGAATATTCTGTCAGTGTTTGCAACATTTTTATTCTATTGTTTTCATCTAAATATAGGCGTGGCAATCAATCAAAGTTATGAACTAAAATCAAGCAATATCTTTTACTATTTGATTGTCAAGTTTTTCGTCTTAGACTATGCAATACATATTATGCCATTATTTAAGATATTTTTGCCACGATAGCAAACTATAGAATTTAAAATTTCTCGTTGTGCTCAGTCAAAACCAACAAAAAATATTGTATTTAATGAATTTTGATCCTAATTTCATTACAAAAGATATTGACTATCTTGCAAAAACACTAAATGTAGGAATGATAAACTATACAAAAAGGTTTATGTCATTTAAATCATCTATTGTATATTCATGAAGTATTTGAATGCTTATTAATCTTCATCAAAACACAATGATGATTTGTGAAATTTATAAACTCTTTACATAGAACTTCTATTATTCATCGCAAAGTTATTCATTACACTTAGGATTTCAAAGAAATATTCCCATACAAACCCCGTCTATAGCTGTATTAGTTGTGTCATCTATTGGTCCAGCAGTAAAATGATAAATACCATCTATCGACGATATTTCACATCTCTCTGAACAGTAAACATTACGATAGATATTTGGTATTGTATAAAGCCATATCTTAGCTGAAAGTATCTCAAATATACAAGTAACAAAGCATCGTCTATCATGTGTCCAAAATGGGGTTTGAAATGGAAGAATGAGTAATCGAGGAGTAGGAATTTGATCATTGCAACCACGCGTACGAAAGAAGAATTCCAACCTATTCAATAAAGTTAGTTTGGTGCTAATTAACTCTTCCCAAAACGAAGCATGAAACATAGAATCAAACTTTCTTAATCTGTTACACTTTACCAGTAGATATCCAAGCTTAGGAGTTAGTTTAACAAGATTTTCGAATTCTTGTGCAGTTATCAACGTATCATTAAGGATGAGAGATTTCAATAATGAATAGAATGTAGGGTCCGAATCTAGTAAAGATTTAGCAGTAGCATTATTCATACTAAATTCGCCTATTATCAGTGTTCGTAAACATGGCAACTGCTGGAGCATTGTTATGTATCCTTCATAAGCACATGTATCGATCTGCAAGTGTTTCAGCTTGTTAACAGTTGACCATATCATGTCATTCATTATTTCATTGAATTTGTACCAACATAACTTTTTCAGTTGATATTCACTGAATCTTGAAAATATTAAATGTAAGTCTTGCTTGCTAGGCTTATTACCTATACTAATTGAAATCGAGGTCAGATTATTGATAGTTATTGATTGCAAGAGCTTTATAAATTCCCAACAGCTTATGCCATCTACGATTAATGATTGAAGTCGAGTAAATTGTTTTACATCGAAACGTGAGAGAAAATTCAAATTGCAACATTTGTAATCGTTATATTTCAGAAAAGACATGCCAATAACGCTTTCGGGTTGAATTCGATGAAAAATGTATCTGTCATCAGAGTGTTCTCTGCTGGTCCAAGTAAGACCAAATCGATCATAAGTGTTTCCTATAGCGTATGTACGCTTACAGAGACGGCGAAATATTAAAAGAATTGTTTGGGTATCACAATAATCAAGAATGCGATGAATTAATTCAACAGGTAATGATAGAAAGTATTGATCTGTCATCTTTACCTATCGATGAAACAAAATAACAATTGATCGTTGCTGTCTTTTTCTTCCTGAACGTAAAATAGTCTATAACAAGAATTTTAAGTTTGACAATGTTTTATGTTCGTATGTCTTCATTTGCTAATTGAAAGAAACCAATTAGAAATTTCTATATACCATGCAGAATTAGTCTCTTTGAAAATCTCAATCATTTTTAACTACGACTTAGTACTATCAGAAATTAACAGTAACAACTCAATGCTTAGGGTTTGATTTATACATGAAAATGTTCATTGTTTTGTTAATCCAAAACTAGGAAATCTCAGTAAGTTTTGTTGCGATTTAGTTGACTTCGGATCAGATGATAGTCAAAAAAAAGTAAACAGATTGCATTCAAATTTTGAATATTATAGCCACTTTAGTGTCGGATATGATATATATATAGAAAAGTTCTTTCTAAATAGAACGAATTATAAAACACAAATGGAAATAAATGTTGAAGTATAGAGTCAAAAGAATGGACTTTCTCGCTCTCCCACTCTAACTCACAGACAGATATGGCATTTTAGATTTTTTGACCATAAACTAGATCCTGTAAAATAAAAAAATCATTTTAAAAC